CATTCCTGTTTCAGTGATGTTCCTGATACTTTCCAGGACTTCTCTTTGGGATTGATCTCTGTCTAACACAAGTCAAGTTTGAAGACTAACCTCTTCGATACTCTACTCTCCATTTCTGGCTCCAAAGACTGCCTCTTCCCATGCAGCAGAACTGATAAAGAATCTCCAGAATCAATGTAACTGCTGAATTCTGAGTTATCAGCTGTGAAAATAAACAGTCTTGTGAATTGCCTTACATCTACTTCAGAAAGGTATGAATGGCTTCAAAAACACAGAGCAGATTACAATTGTAGGAAAATACCATTGCATTAGTTTGGGTGAAGCTTTTCTCCCATCCCCACCCACCCAGTCCAAAGATCTATGACTTTTTTACTTTATGACAGTATCTTGTCTCTCATGCCCTAGAAGCGTGGTCATGTTGGTTTTTTTCAATCTGAAAGTATGAGCTTCTGGCAGTCTTCTGGCAATAACAAGTCAGTTTATGATTAGTGTAACTGGGGGCTTTCCAGAGACTCCCAGATTAGAAATATGTAAAGAAATCATATTGGCTAGTGAGGACAGAACTCTTTATCAGCAGTTAGCATGATACAAATATTAAATAATAACCATGATAATAATATCCTGGTACTTCCTATTCCTGTTTGTTTCCAATTTCCTTTCTCAGAGGTTACAGCTGTCATGTTCCTGTTTCATTTGAATTAACCCAACTGGTTATCAGTCTCCCATAGACGTGACTACTGTTCCAATTTTGTTTTTTTGTCACATCAGGGAATTTCAAGCTGTATTGAGATGCCACTTGCTGTTTAGTTGCTGGTCTCTCTTAATGATGTTTAATTCTGATGTGAGCTATTTCCTTTTTATGTGTCAATCTTAGCCCAGTTGTATTCATCACACACTTCATGGGTGCCCTGCTTCTGGTTATGGTGCACCTGTTGGAACGTCTGTTCTGTCTTGGAGTTCAGAGTAGCTCTGTAGAGATCCACCTCTTTGCCAACAGTCAGGTTGGATACGCAATTTGGAAATTTTTTTCAGTGACCAAATATTTTTCCTCTCTTCTAAAGCACGTTCCAAGTCAGTCCTTCACATAAGGTCAGAAAGTGCATTTGGATTTCTATTGATGTTCTGGAACAGTGATGATACAAAAGACAAGCAGGTGCTGCTGTCCATGGAACTCAGTATTTTGTGTACCTGAAAAAGTTCAAGTATCTCAGTGTTAATTGTTATTATTTAGGGCTTATAGCACGTTGGGGGAACTGAGAAAAGGGCAACAGGGATCAGTCTATTGCAGTGACTTAGCAAATTTTATCAATTGTTATGCATAGGGACTGCTGCAAGTGCAGGTGTGGAAAGACTACGGAAGGTTCTGGCAGTGCCTTTAGCATTTATATAGTTGTAGTGCATTCCCAGATAAATGCAATAAGTGTGGTTTTTCACTTCAAAGGCTATAGAAAACTCAAAGAACATAAAACTAGTCCCACAAAGTATTTTAATTACATAGTGTGCTTCCAGAAAATTCAAATTATTAAGAAAAAGCCACTGTGTTCTAACTGGAAAAGTATTAGCATGAACATGTGTTCTATTATTACAAATAAAATCAAGATATACAGAATAATGTAACTTCTGAGAGCTACAACCTACCTAGCATCCTTAGCCTGCTTTATTGCATTTCCTTTCTTATACATCTTAATCTCGCAAAACAAACTGTAGAACAAAATTTTGCTATGTTCTGATCCTAAATCATTGAAAAGAGGAACTAGATTACAGTGTCTTCGCTTACGAAGTGCTTGTGCAGCTATTTGTGCTCCAGATCATTACACTTCCTTGTTTCTCATTTTAAAATATTTTTAAACTCTCTTCCATTTCTATATGAATGTTTAGATTTAATGTATTTTCCAGAAATTTAGAAAAATGCTCTCTCCTTTATTGTACCATGGTGCTTAAATTACACTGGAGTATTGTCACAGCATGTTTCCTGGAAAAGTGGATCCACCTTTAATATATATATAGATCTTATGCCAGGTGCTGATTAATTTCTTAAAGTCCAGTAAGTCTTTCTCTCACCAGTATGCCTAGACTATTTATAATGATGTAGCAAGGCAGCTAAGTCTCCAGAGGGTACTTGAATCTCTTATGTGTACTTAAAAGAAGTTCCTCGGCTTGGTAAAAAGCAATTTTCTGGAGCTTGACCTACCTGATCTCAGGACTCTTTCTTTCTCTGTGTATTGTAGAAACTGGTTGCAGATCCCTGAGCAAAGAGAGCTCTGAAAAATGAAACCAAAAAGATTGGTGAAGGTTTTGCTAGTGCTTATCTAATAATCTGTATAACTTCTACCAAAAGTTTCTAAAAAAACTTGGGACAAATAAAATGAGGAAAACTACAAGAAGCTAAAAATCTGAAATAAGCAATTAGAAAGTTAATTACAAAACATACTGTATAGTTCCTCATATACAGAATGCGAAGATAGTGGTACTGAGTATACTTACCGCATGTAATCATGCTCAGTTTGCTAGTACACAGCGCTGGTTTACCTCAGGTGAGCAGAACCCCTGTAATTTTAGGGTTCTTCATTTCACTACATCTTTTATTTGTTTTGGATTTATTCTTTTCCATTGAGTCATCTTCTAGAGTGTTAAAATTAAACTTCAGATGAAATTCTAGGAGTCAGATTTTCACCTTGGCTACAGTCAAACCCAGGTTTTAATCTGGGTCTTCTTTCTCCTTAAGGCTTACCCACAGAGCCTTGTTTGCCGTCAGAGCCTTGCTGACTGAGCAGCCCCATTCTCTACCCTAAGCCTAAGTCATTTGAGAGTAGCTGGTGCTGCACCATACTGAAGTGGTGTGAAGAGCCAGTCTAAATTCTGCCTGTCTTTAGTTTCAGAATGGCTGCGGTTACTGCCTTTTCTGGGTGTGCTGGCCTTGCTCGGCTACCTCGCTGTTCGTCCGTTCCTCCCCAAGAAGAAACAGCAAAAGGATAGCTTGATTAACCTCAAGATCCAGAAGGAAAATCCAAAAGTAGTGAATGAAATAAACATTGAAGATCTGTGCCTCACTAAAGCTTACTGCAGGTGTTGGCGTTCTAAGACGGTAAGACACTAGGATTAGAGATGGAAACTTGCTTATTTTTATCAGTGCTTCAGTGGTGAATTGCTATATGTTGACCTGTTGCTTTTCTCTGGAGGTGGAACATGTTCCTGTTTTTTGAGAATGGCACAGTTCTTATTTTTCTCCACTGTAAACCTGTCTACATGCAGAAAGAAACTGTAGAAACTTATAAGAAACACAGTAGTTTTTTTTTCTAGAAACACAGAGTGACCACCTGTGAGTAGATTAAAACCAAGCAAGCCTTGTTTAATATTTGGAGATACATTGCAACTAATTAGAAGAGAACTACTCCTTATTTTGCAAAAACAGTGCTTAGGAAGTTGTTCATATTAGAATGAAAGTAAGGCTGGACCTGTGTTGGTGAGGGAGAGCATATCCCCATGATCTGGTCCAGAGCAGCCAGTAGACGACTGGTTTAGATAGACCGTATCCCCCAAATCAACTAGATATACATGGGTATTTTTTCACCTGCCTTCAATTTCTTTTGAATGTCCTGACTGTGCTCTGGTTTTGTCCTCTCTGGACTGAATGCTTTCCTGTTTTAACAAAACAATCTGCCCTGGACCTAAGAAACCCTCTCAGCTGTTCTCCCTTCAGAATAATCACTTCAGCAAAATATTTCAGTTTTCCTTAAAAAGAGCACTTTCTGGTTGCAAATGATTAAATCTATTAAGAGCACTTTTACTAGTTCCACAATAAACCTTAAAACATTTGTGGCTGTGATGGCTGCTTTGCTTCCTGTTCTTTCATGGAATAGGCTTTGTTCTTACTTTGTGTCTAAGAACAGCAATTTTATGACCTCACAAACTTAGTTATCTGTTAGCAGGGTTTTTTTTTTCCTTAGTAACATGTGTCCTGTGTCTGATAAGAGACAGGGAGTTTGATGTTGAAAAGCGACATAGTAGGAGGAGCTGGCAGTGCTATCAAAGTGCTCTTGGCACAGGAAGTATAAAAATCACCATGCAATTGCTGTACAGAGTTATACTAATCCCTCGTCTATGTTTTCTTCCAGTTCCCTGTCTGTGATGGCTCCCACAACAAGCACAATGAATTAACAGGAGATAATGTAGGTCCACTAATACTGAAGAAGAAAGAAGTATAGCAGATGCTTAATCCGCTAGATAATGATTGATAAAATGTCTTTTTATACTGTTGTAGTAGCAAGGGACAGCATTTTATTATGTGATGGGTATGATTTATTCTAACGATTGCTGTAGATCTCTTTTTGGAGTAAACTCCATTTAGAAAGCGTAACGTAACTCTCTGTAAATAAGTCCTTTATTTCAACAATAAAATTACAAATTACAGTTAAGCCTTTTTTTGTATGAACATGCAATTATAAAACTGTCACTATTTTCAAGTGACAGAAGTGCACCTTTTTGTTGATTTTGTTCTGCTGAGAAGCCACGTTTTGTTCTGCTTTTCAGGAACCAATTTAAAAAGGTAAAAAAGGCAATAAATTCATCCTTTGTGAATATACCTAAGCATATCACTGAGGGTGGGCAGCAAGTGATGTTAAGTTACACTAGGCGAAGGTCTGGCCTGTGGTGCCCAAGTGGGCAGTTTGTTAGTCTCATGCAAAGCAGCTTGGCTCAGACAAACCCCACACAGCTGGACAGTCTTGTACCGTGTCCTGGGTGGAGTGCTGCAGTTCCAGACCATATAAACTAAACTATTGAGCAGGTCAGCCACTGACATTATCCCTTTATTTTGGGCCCCTGTGTTGATTGTTCATGAGCTCTTGAAAGGAAACACGTTTGCTCCTTGCAAGTTCACTTGCACTGTATCTGCTGCTTTTTGTAGCGGGGGCTTTCATGGGAGGAATTGGTTAAATGACAGAACCAAGAAAGCAGAGCTGACCTGTATTCTTGGCTTGTTACCCATTCAGAATGATTATTTGGGCAAGTCAGAACTTTGCTGTGGTATGGCTTAATTTCACATGCAGGTAAATAATTGCTACTTATCTAACTGTTAGACTTCTAATTAAATACTCCTAAAGTACTTATTTATTTTATTTATTTATTCTTCAATGAAGGACTGTATCCATCAGTTTAAAAATAAAAATTTCACCTGTGCTACAATTTTAGACAGTTGTACTAAGGCAGATCTCAACTGGTCCTTAACGGCATTTCATTTGACCCGTTAGGCAGGTGGGAAGCCCCAGAGTGGTGTGCCATTGCCAAAGGTGATCACCACAGCGCTGAAACAGAAAGCAAGTCAGGAAGCAGTTCTCACATAATGGCTCTCGCAGCAGCAGTAGAACTAAGGTAGATCATTCCTCCTGCATTTGTAATAGTTGTAGTTCTAGGTACCTAAACCTCTTGCCTTGCAGCAAAAGATGGCAGATTAGGATGTGATTGTCTGTTAAATGCCTGCTTTTATAAAGTGTGTAATAGAACCATGGTACGGTCTTTCATGTTGAAATGCTTCATGGTGGTCTTTTACCTTGATGGATGAGCAAACCATAAACATTATGTTAGGATATAACATTTATAATAGAAGAAATTCCATAAAGTGGAAGTGTGTCTTATACTCAGTCCTCACTTAAAGATGCAGTATATTGAACACCAGGCCCCAATTCTTGGGTTTGAGGAAGAATTTACTATGTGAAATGCAAAAGTTTGTCTTTAGATTCCCCCACCCCTGGCTTTAAAATCCACAGCCTATCGTAGCAGGCTGTTTTTATATGCAACTCTGTATGCGCTTCCAGCTTTTATCAGGATACTTTTGCTTCAGATAGTTTGATTTCCTCCTAAGTCTGAGAAGTAAACTACGTAAATCAATCCTGTTTTTACTTCCATTGCTCTACTCAGACAAACCCTGTTAGAGTAAGTAATACAGCAAAGTTGATTTTGTTTTTCCCACAAAGCTCCTCTAAAAGGAGAACAACAGTGTAGGGTTTAACCTCTTGACTCCATCTCTAGCACAGCTTGATTATGTAATCAATTTTTTCTCCCTGCTTGCTGTTAGATGAGATTGCTGCTAAACTACCTACAAATGGGGCTACGGAACAAATGGGTGGTTTTTGTTTGCTTTTGCTTATGTCTATAGGGGAATGGAACACATTGGTAGTAGGGGCCTGCAACAGCAGCACTCACAGTTCTTTGTAGAATCCACAAGAAAATAATGAAATGAAAATCACAAGCAAGATAAATGACCATTTCCTTGCATTTCAAAATCTGTCAAGGTAATACTGTCTCTCATGGCTACAGAATTTTCTATAGAAAATCTCAAAGAATTTACTAATTGGTTCATATTATCTACCTAAAGTCTACGGGGATAGATAGCTAAGAACAGAAGTGTCTGCAGAGCCTTGTATCTCACCAGCGATTGAAAGAGTTGAACCAGTAACCTGCTGGGATATGCTTGGTCATGTCTTGCCACTGGATGACTTTTCTAACCTAATTTGGAAGCTCCACACAAAGGGATAAATTTGCCCCTAATGCTAATAAAGAGCAGGACTGAGGCAGTAGACCAGGTCTTCCCAGTCTTGATGCAAAATCAGAGGAAGCTGAACTTGGCATGTCATGACATGCCTTGTCACTCTATGAGAACAGTAATGTTTACCTTTCTTTTGATTATGAATTTCAACAATAGTTGTAATAGACTACAAATAAACTTGTAAAACAAATACGTTTAGAGAAAGGTATCTGATGTGACAACTACTAGACAAAGTAAATGTAATTGAAGTGCAGCTGGCACAAAATGTGATCTCTTGCACTCTGCTTATTTAAAAAGCAAAATGCAAAAAACCGTATCACACCATGAGTGTTTCCGTTAATTTCAGACTTCAGTCTAAATTCCCTAAAATGCTCAGTTTGGCTGAAAAAGAGAGAGAAAGCAGTGATTATAATTACATTATCGCTGCAGCCCCTGGCCTGTGCAACTCCCTGCTTCCAGATGGCCAATTTCTGTCTTTTCCCATATGCTGCCTGCTGTAATTCTGCCCGCTGCTTGCTGCCAGGAACGCACTGTGCCGTCAGACCCTTCTGCTGCAGAGCTTCTTGTGAACCTTCTGGAACTGCACACACATACTGTGCTCAGTACTCTCCCACATTATGCCTGTGATTATATGTGCATGACAGCAGGACTCTTCTGGTTATAGTTTACTGCACATTGTGCTCTAATTTTATTTCCTGCACGTAAGAGACTGGCATGGCATAAAGATTTTATTGGCTTGAATTTATGCATTATTCATGAATGATTTCATGGCATTTTGTTAAAAGGGAGGTGGTCTTAAATGTCATGACTTCACCCGCACAAACTGATAAAAAGTGAAATCCTGTCTTGCGAAGTTAACTGCTATTTAAAATCAGCTGAAATTGTCATGATACTTACTAAAAAAACCCAGTCTCCTAAGTTCTTAGCCCCAATATAATGTTTCTTTTCATGACAAGATGCAAGTGTTTTGCTCCCTTCTGGAAGGCAAGGAGAGAAGCATTATAAAGCATTAATGCTTTTCATTGCAGGTCTGTGTAATAGCTTCGACCTGATTCTTTCTGAAGATTTAATGAAACCTGGGAGAAAGGAGTCTTGTGAGAAACATCCATATAGGGCGGTGAGGAAAGGAAAATTGATTCAATTTTGTTTAGATTAGAGCGCAAGATGACACTTTTCATTGGTATGGCTATTCAAGCACTCAGTGGTGGGAGTGATCTAATGAATAAATCGAGAGTGCACTGAGGTTAAGGGAACATGATAAATCCAATTTATGAGATGCTGTTATGGTGAGCAAGTATTAGAGGCTATCATGAACAGGGGCTGTTTGTCAGAGGTTTGCTTGCATACTTAAGGTTGTATTCAGATTTGCAGGGCTATAATCCTTACACGTCACACTTGTGTTATTGAAGAGACTCCAGATTTGGCATAGTGATCCCTCCCTGCAGGACAATTCTACTTTTTATAAAGCTTGATGAAAAAATGAACTATATAAAGCTTCTACTATAAGTTTTACTCAAGTAGAATTATTTTATAGACAGTCACTGATGAACTGAACACTGTATTCCCTCATCGTATCAACTAGGTTTACAGACATTACAATTTCCAAACACAATAAGCTCCTATTAAAACTACCCCTATTTAAGAAACAGAGTGCCTCTGTTAGCCATGCAAAGAAGGCAGAACAGGCACAGAAGTCAGTGACTGACACAATAACCACCAACCACAGCACCTTAACCATTCATCAGTGCGCAGTTTGAAAACATCTTCCTTTCCGGTCAGAAGACAAACATGAACTGAACTAAACATTGTACATTCCCCAAGGAAGCCGAGAGATCAGCAGTGTGTATAGTAAGAAAAATGTCAATGTATTTGACAACTATTAGGGGAAAACTTACCAAAGAATTTCCTGGTATTTTTATCACTGTGCTGGAATTGCAGGCTATGAACCTTAAATATTTCTCAGGAAGCTTTCTTTTTGGCTTGGAGAGGAAGGCATAGACAAAGGTGCACATACTAAGCTGTAATTAAGCTGTATACAAAGGCATACGTGGACACTGCAAATAATACAGTTTCAGATAGTTTTTTTTTTAAAGTATTTTTGTACATTTTTGCGTTGCATATTAAAAGTGTAAAAGCTAAAATAGAATTGATTAATTCTTACTTACTAATGCCAAAAATATCTAGACACATTGAATATATTCTATAGGGTATCCTGTAAAACGAGTTCACTGAACTGTAGTGTATAAATCTGCAAGGAGGCATTGTCCACCTTGATTATAGGCACGGTCTAACATGCTTACTAAAAAATTACAAAATAAAACTTGCATTTTCTGAGGGATGCTGTACTGACTCTATGCCTCAGAATGGAGCTGGGAATGACCTACTCGGAGCTTGTTACTTGTACAAAATGTAGCAGAGTAAGAAAGATTTGCTGGTATTTGTAACGGGTCAATACTAAACCCTGATACCAAAGCTAAAGGCAAGAGCAGGATTTTGATCAACAGAGGAGGTTTACTCCTGGCTTTAGGACAGTCAAGGAGAAGAGAAAGGAAAGTCTTCTGGGAATGGGAAATCAAATGTGAACTGTATTGCAACTGACTGTGCAGGAGGCATCTATATTAAATAAAATGAAGAAAACCACATTTGAGCTTTTTGCTCCCCCTGGTGAAATGTTTTGGCAAGATAATAGACACGAGCATTGCCAGTCATTACCATGATCCACAGCCACACACAAGTGGTGTTTCTGGAAAGACCCACAGGACACGTGGGTATGTGCTGAGGGTGCTAGCGCTGTGTCCCAAACACTGCTTCCTCGTGACACCTACCTTCACACAGCAGCCTTTCTGAAGGGAGGTGAGGTGAGGCACCTTTCGCTTTGTACTATCCCTCTCAGCACTGCATTTTCAAGGCTGTTCTTTTGAAGTCTATTAGTTTTCTACATCAGAGGTAAAAAATGCCCTGCCAAATCTGAGAGGCCTCCACTCTCCACAGTCAATCCAGCCAGTCGCCTCTTGGAAGAATGAGCACTAACTGGCTATATTTTTAGCAAATACTTGATTTTCTTTGCTTCAGCTATCCAAATGCAGATGTGAGAAAGACCTGATCATGGCATTTTCTCTGCCAGATGAGTATTAGCTTAGGACAAAGCAAGGGAGATCCTGGCGGACGCATGAATCTTGATTTGAGAAGAGGTCTGCTGCTATTGTCGAGTTCCCCACAAGGAGCTGAGGAAGAAAGGCACGACTCATTGCCACCTTGGCCTTGCCCTGTCAGCAAACCCCACCCGAGAGGAGCTCTCTCCTCTGTCCTACAGTGGCCAGCACCAGAACACAGCCAGTCACAGTGGCCGAAGAGCTGGCTTTCCCTTCCTTGACACCACGTTGTACAAAGGCTGAGGTACACAGGTGAAGCAGCAGCCATCCCACTCCCATACAATCCTTTCCCAGTCCTTATAGCCTCCCCACAACCCTCATCCCATTTTCAAGCTCAGTCTTTTTTTCTACGAGCACCAGCAACACCTGTATTACCACAGTCCTGAGGGACCCAACTGTCTCTTTCAGCACATAAGCACCACTTGCTGTTTCTTGCTACGACCAAAGCTGACAGTCCCTTGAAGGCACGAAGGAGTGTATGGGCTGTGAGGAAGAACAGCACTAGGAAGAGGCAAGTTTTGGAACCAGAATGAGGAAGGAGAGGGAATCACCAGCCTGTGGCAGGACTTGTTCACTTGTGTGTCAGCAGTCTCTAGTTCAGAAGTTGCATTCTTTGAGCTGTTGAACTTGTCCTCTCACAGCCCAGTTTCAACCATCAAGAAGTTATTCATGTTAGTCTCCATTTTCATCTGTTTATATTCCACCTCATGACTCCACTCTATGCCTGAACAATTCTGATCCTCTCCCTGGCCTCACACCCACACGTTTCAAGTAACTGTTGACTGCTGACTTCTCAGTGAGTCACTGCCTGGCCAGCCTATTCACTTTATGTTCAACTATTTAATCTCTTAAGGCACTGTCAACACATAAAAATATTTTATAAAACTCCAGCAGGGCTGCTTTTAAAATAGCAGCCATAACTGATACTGGTTTTGGTTTCCTCCAGAAAGATTACAGACATGCTGTGTTACTCAACAGAAGTCTAAGAGCTGAAGGACCATATTCCTGTAGTTGTCTGTCTTACGAAGGTTCACAGGCCTCTGCTGCTTCTCCAACTTCAGCACCTTCCTCATCTTCCTTGCTATTTGTCTGGGCCTTCTGCAAAAGTCTGGGCCCTGCCAAGCCAATAACCAGGGCTCCAATTGGAGCAGTGATCAAGATAGCCAAGAAAGCTACTGTCAGTACATCCATTCCATACTTTTCCAGTTGCTCATCCTGATGACTTCTCGCTGTGTCCAGAGCAAGGGAACCTATTGCAGCCTGCGGGAAAAAATACATTGCTGAGATGGATCAAGTAACCTTTAGCACTGGAAGAGGAAAAAAGGGGACTAATCATCGGTCAAGATTGAACTTAAATTTGACATTTTTAGTACATTCAACCCATTTGTTTCTAGGCAGTACACAGAAAAGTAAATGTTATATTACACCTATTGGAACAAATTTCACTTGGCTATACTTTGAATTTCCTAAGCTCATGAGTTTATCTGGGTGGTTCCTTCCTGTGAAGAACATTGCTTAGCTGCCATTTTATTCATATTTTTGGAGAATGTGTGATTAATGAAATGGGCCAGTATATTGCAGCTGTTAAAATGCCACATCTTGAGAATACGTCCTGAAAGCAGTCAACTAGTAGCAGCTTCTGAAAATTTAGTTCACAAATCTTGCAATAATCCTTGCCTGTTCTGATTATTAACTTTTGTTTGCAAGTAATCATGCTATTGATGTGAAGTCTAAATGACTTAACGACCACTGAAA